ATCATGGAGTCTGTCATGACCTAAAGAGACAGAAGGCAGCCAACATCCTCAGAAGATCTGTGCTTAGTTCTGTAAGATGTTTGGAAAAAGCTACCTGCTGAGTTCCTTCAAAAACTGTGTACAAGTCTACCTAGAAGAAGGCAAAGTGGGGTCACATCAAATTGATGATGATGGATGATGATGGATGATTATTATTGATTTAAATGGCGCCAACAGTTTGCTCAGCGCTTTACAATATAAAGGGAGACAATACAGCAACAATACAGTTCAACACAAGAGGGATAGGAGGGCCATGTGCCTTAACACTTCTATTTCTGAAAGCATTTCTTCATTAACAGCATTTTTGGGAACCCCATACACAAAATTGCTGCTTTTCAACATATTTAATCAAAAATTGCCTACAGATGGAGGTGATGCACTTGAATAAGAACAGAAGCAAAATGTGCATTTTTCAGTCATTTATTCAATATATCAATATCGAATATCAATAATATAAAATGGGTGTAATGTGGAATTGTGGGAAATTAATTCAACCTTTTTCCATCAAAAGTTGGCATTGCTTCATTTGGCAGACATTACTTCTTGTGTTTTTATTTTTATATAAATGCCCCCCAGTCTGTGCTGCTGGCTGATTTATAATTTTTGACTGCTCCTCCAAAATTATTTCATTTCCTTGGAGAAAACTGCCTGTTTTAACTTCCCCTACAAAATACCATTAGCAATTAAATCTGGTATTTGACTAGAGGAGTCCATAAAACTCCTTATCGCCTCTTTTGAAATTAATATGGTTCTGTATCAGAAGAGGACAGGGTTGGGCACTTATTGACAGATTCATAGGCTTGGCTTGGACAATGACAGAGCAAAGTAAGAATATACACTACATAAAGCAGTAAGGCAAATCAAAGATCACTTATTAGGCCTTTCCTTTGCTCTAGTATTAAAATGCTGAATCTGTGGAGAGATACTAGAGGAAATTACGTAAGCAAAATAAAGTTACAGCCAGCAGTCATTGTGTTTCTGCCCAGTCTGGTTGATAACAGACATTGTGTACAGCTGTGACACTGGGGAACCCAGCAATGACAATAATGCTTTATGTCTCATAGATCTTAGTCTGGTTTCAGGGAGGCACCACTGACTTGAAGGTAGAGAAGTCACATTGAGAACTGAAGTCAGTGTGTACGGCCTAAACTTTAAACCAGCACTTATTTGTGGCTCATTCTACGTACAACTTCCAGCCAAAGGCAGTTTGGTGACAAACCATGGGGCACTGGGTAAATAGAATTTGAAGGTACTAATATGGCAGGACTAGTTCTCTCCAGATTTTTTGTAAGTTTGAAATACGTATTAGTTTGTATGTTATCAAATTTTCCCCAGGTTCAGTACACACCTACTGGTGTGGCTTGCAGGCGGTCTCTGGTGTGTGTGTTGAGGAGTACAAAACTACAAAGGTTCATATCACTCAAGTTAAGAGCATCAAATACAGCCAACATGTTTCTGAGGGAAAGGCCTTCCCCCTTCTTCAGGGTGTGAGCAGCAGATGTTATTAGAATAATGATGAGCAGCCAAAATTGCAATCGCAACTGCCTGGAAGAGTCCAGTAGTGGACTTACCATTGATCAAACTTAAACTTTTGTGGATCATGATCAATGAAAATGGTCAGCATTAGAGATGAGCGAAGTATTCAAAAATTCGATTCGACTGATTCGGCAAATTCGTGGAAAAATTTTGATTCGAGTCGAATATATTCGCTGCAAATTTAACTTATAAAAGGGTGTTTCTAAGGCTTCAGAGAGCCTTTATATTAGTGCAGAACACTGTACCTTTAATTTAAATGCCCTTGGAGTCTGCTGGGGAAGAGAAATAATACTGACAGTCAGTATGACATGCAGATGAGTGCCGTCGATCTTAGAGAATCACGCACACTTCACTCATTTGGGCAGTCACGGGGCCAAAACCAGAGTGTGGAGCCACAGTGTGGCGGTGGAGGCAGCAGCAATGGGAGGCCATACAGCACCCTATGACAAAAATGGAAACCACCAGCAGTGTGAGGAGACCTGAAAGTGGCACATGGCAGAGTGTGGCGATGGAGACAGCAGCAATGGGAGGCCGTACAGGGACCCATGACACACTCTGGACCTGGCAGCAGCATGAGGAGGCGGTACAGGGGCCCATGACAGATTACGGGCCTGGCAGCAGCATGAGGAGTCGGTACGGGGGCCCATGACACACTCTGGACCTGGCAGCAGCATGAGAGGCGGTACAGGGGTGCATGACAGATTACGAGCCTGGCAGCACAACTTGGACAGGAGGACGTTCAGCTTCTGCACCGTCGGGTGCGTGCTCGCAAACTGTTGTCTCTTGGAAACGGATTCCAAGAAAGACTGCTGACGGAATCCGTGAAGAGGAGTAGCAGGAGAAGGAGCATCTGAACGAGCGGAATATGCCAACAAGCGACAACAGGGGCCCATGACAGATTACGGGCCTGGCAGCAGCATGAGGAGTCGGTACGGGGGCCCATGGCAGATTACGGGCCTGGCAGCAGCAATGGGAGGCCCGTAATCTGCCAGCACCCTATGACAAAAAATGGAACACACCAGCATGTGTGAGGATACCAGTGTGTGAGGAGACCTGAAAGTGGCACATGGCAGAGTGTGGCGATGGAGACAGCAGCAATGGGGAGGCCGTACAGGGACCCATGAGAGACTCTGGACCTGGCAGCAGCATGAGGAGGCGGTACAGGGCCCATGGCAGATTAGGGGCCCTGGCAGCAGCAATGGGAGGCCCGTAATCTGCCAGCACCCTATGACAAAAAATGGAACACACCAGCAGTGTGAGGAGACCTGAAAGTGGCACATGGCATGAGACACTGTGGACCTGGCAGCAGCATGAGGAAGCGGTACAGGGGCCCATGGCAGATTAGGGGCCTGGCAGAAGCAATGGGAGGACCGTAATCTGCCAGCACCCTATGACAAAAAATGGAACACACCAGCAGTGTGAGGAGACCTGAAAGTGGCACATGGCATGAGACACTGTGGACCTGGCAGCAGCATGAGGAGGAGGCGGTACAGGGGCCCATGGCAGATTAGGGGCCTGGCAGCAGCTATGGGAGGCCCGTAATCTGCCAGCACCCTATGACAAAAAATGGAACACACCAGCAGTGCGTGAGGAGACCTGAAAGTGGCACATGGCAGAGTGTGGCGATGGAGACAGCAGCAATGGAGGCCGTACAGGGACCCATGAGAGACTCTGGACCTGGCAGCAGCATGAGGAGGCGGTATATAGGGGCCCATGGCAGATTACGGGCCTGGCAGCAGCAATGGGAGGCCCGTAATCTGCCAGCACCCTATGACAAAAAATGGAACACAACAGCAGTGTGAGGAGACCTGAAAGTGGCACATGTTTGGGGCATGATTCATGGCGGATTTAGTCAGTTGTGTCAGGAACTGGTGGTTTGAAATCCAGACTAATCCACGCCTGATTCATTTTCACAAACGTGAGTCTCTCCACACTTTGGGTGGACAGTCGTGTCCTCCGCGGAGTTACTATACCTCCTGCCGCACTAAACACGCGCTCCCGATGCCACGCTACTGGCCGGGCATGACAGCCTTTCAAGGGCAAATTCAGCTAGTTGGGGCCAAAGGTCAAGTTTCGTTGCCCAGTAGTCAAGGGGATTGTCTACCTCGGTTGGCAGGGTGCTGTCCAAGTAGGCCTAAGCCTGTTGTTTGAGGTCCTGCTCCAGGTCCACCTGATGCTGCTGCTGCTGCTGCGGCTGGTTCGTAGTTTCCTCACTGCGCTGGTGAAGAAAGCTACTCATCATCGACTGCAGACTGAGGCAGCTGCTGCTGGTGGAGCTGCCACTGCTCCTACCACCCCACCCCTCCCCTGCTGCCATGGCAGCGGAACGCGAGCGCACAGGGCCCACAGTGTCTGAAGATGGACGTTGGCGCACAAAGGCAGAGACCAATTGACTGCATAGGTGGTTTTTATAGTACTTTATTTTGGCCTCCCTCTCAGCAGGTGTGAAAAAGGCCACCATTTTTGAACGGTAGCGAGGGTCCAACAAGGTGGACAGCCAAAAGTCATCCCTCTGTCTGATGGTTATTATTCGGCTGTCGCTACGCAAGCAAGCGAGCATGCTATGGGCCATTTGTGCCAAGGAATGCGAGGGACTCCCTGCCTCCATCTCCACAGCATACTGCCACGGTGCGTCTGGGTCCTCTGTCTCCTCCTCCTCCTCCTCTACCAGATGCTCCTGCTCCTCCACTCCTGTCCGCTGAGTGGAAAAACCACCCATTTCACTCAATAATTCCTGAGCACCAATGTCCTCCTCTACCTCCTCCTCTTCTTCCTGTCCTGCCCCCACAGGGGTCATGTGGCGTTGAGATCTGTGCGCCACGTCTACCGCACCCTGACCAGCCATTGTTAACAGCATTTTGTTTCCAGGACGTGCAACAGAGGAATGACGTCGTTCATCCCCATAGTCCTGCCGACTCACAAATAGCGTGGCCTCCTCAAAGGGCCTGAGCAAGCGGCAGGTGTCACGCATGAGCTGCCAATGGCTGACATCGAAGTTACACAGAGGAGTACCTTTATCCGCTTGTAACATCAGGAAATCGGTTATGGCCTTTCGCTGTTCGTAAAGGCGGTCTACCCATGCATAGGGTTGAATTCCACCTTGTTGCAACGTCGCAGATCAGGCGATGCTGTGGAATTCCGTTCTGCCTGACGCTGCTGCAGCTCAAGGAAGGTGTGCTTTGCGGTGTAGGAATGGCTGAAATGCATGCAAAGTTTACGTGACATTTTAAGGATGTCTTGCAGTGGGATGGTGGATTTTAGGAACCGCTTGACAACCAGATTGAACACGTGAGCCATGCATGGCGCATGGCACAACCTTCCTGAGACTCTGGACCTGCAGCAGCATGAGGAGGCGGTACGGGGCCCATGGCAGATTAGGGGCCTGGCAGCAGCTATGGGAGGCCCGTAATCTGCCAGCACCCTATGACAAAAAATGGAACACACCAGCAGTGTGAGGAGACCTGAAAGTGGCACATGGCATGAGACACTGTGGACCTGGCAGCAGCATGAGGAGGCGGTACAGGGGCCCATGGCAGATTAGGGGCCTGGCAGCAGCTATGGGAGGCCCGTAATCTGCCAGCACCCTATGACAAAAAATGGAACACACACCAGCAGTGTGAGGAGACCTGAAAGTGGCACATGGCAGAGTGTGGCGATGGAGACAGCAGCAATGGGAGGCCGTACAGGGACCCATGAGAGACTCTGGACCTGGCAGCAGCATGAGGAGGCGGTACAGGGGCCCATGGCAGATTAGGGGCCTGGCAGCAGCTATGGGAGGCCCGTAATCTGCCAGCACCCTATGACAAAAAATTGAACACACCAGCAGTGTGAGGAGACCTGAAAGTGGCACATGGGCATGAGAGACTGTGGACCTGCAGCAGCATGAGGAGGCGGTACAGGGGGCCCATGGCAGATTACGGGCCTGGCAGCAGCTATGGGAGGCCCGTAATCTGCCAGCACCCTATGACAAAAAATGGAACACACCAGCAGTGTGTGAGGAGACCTGAAAGTGGCACATGGCAGAGTGTGGCGATGGAGACAACCCACCGACTGTTTCGCTCGCTGCCAAGCTGGCACCCTCTTCTCCTGATGATGCGGAAGCAATAGCCTGATGACGACAAGGCTGCCAAGTGCGATCAGCCTCATCATCATCAATTAGGGTCTCCGCCTCACTACTAGCCCCCTCGGCTGCGTGTGGGTCAGGAGACAGACCTGTCTCTAGACCGGCTACCGAGCCACTCTCCTCGCCAGTACTTCTTCGCCTGGCTGCTGAAAAGGCGGATGTCTCCCCCCGTTCCTAACCGCCCTCTGTTAGCTCTTCCTCACTGTACAGTGGGGCTGAGCCCACAGCATGCGATACTTCGCTTGGTGAGGGAACACCAAAGGACAGGGGCAGGTAGAGGACACGTGATTTCAGTGGGCTTGCTCCCGGGCCATGCCAACTAACGGTTGTGTCTGACGTACCCACCGACCGTTGGCTGTAGGTGTCAGAGGTGACCTGGGAAGAGGAAGACGACCGAGCCAACCAATCGATGACGGCAGGGTTGTCGGTGGAGACACGACCGCTGGATGACACCGGGAGCACTGGCCTCTGGCTACGACTAGTGCTGCCTCGACCCCTTCCTGTGCTGCCACGTCTGCTCGCTCCTAAAACATTGCCTCCTCTGCCACTCCTCTGCATGTTGTCTGACATACTCTTTAATTAAACGATTCTGTGTCCCTGAGTAACAATTCTGTGTCCCTGAGTAACAATTCTGCCCCTGTCCTGAGTAACGTTCTGTGGTCCCTCAGTAACAATTCTGTGTCTGTGTCCCTGAGTAACAATTCTGTGTCCCTCAGTAACAATTTCTGTTCCCTGTGTCTGTGTCCCTCAGTAACAATTCTGTGTCCCTCAGTAACAATTCTGTCTGTCCCTCAGTAACAATTCTGTGTCTGTCCCTCAGTAACAATTCTGTGTAACCCTCAGTAACAATTCTCTGTCTGTCCCTGAGTAACAATTCTGTGTCTGTCCCTGAGTACAATTCTGTGTAGTAACAATTCTGTGTCTGTGTCCCTCAGTAACAATTCTGTGTCCCTCAGTAACAATTCTGTGTCCCTCAGTAACAATTCTGTGTCCCTGAGTAACAATCTGTGTCTGTCCCTCAGTAACAATTCTGTGTCCCTCAGTAACAATTCTGTTCTGTCCCTGAGTAACGTTTCTGTGTCTGTCCCTGAGTAACAATTCTGTGTCCCTGAGTAACAATTCTGTGTCCCTAAGTAAGTAACAAAGTCTGTGGCCCTGTCCCTCAGTAACAATCTGTGTCTGTGTCCCTAAGTAACAATTCTGTGTCCCTAAGTAACGTTTCTGTGTCCCTAAGTAACAATTCTGTGTCCCTAAGTGTGTGGCCCTCAGTAACTGTTACTGTGGCCCTAAGTAACGATTCTGTGGCCCTAACAATTCTGTGTCCCTCAGTAACAATTCTGTTCTGTAACAATTCTGTCCCTAAGTAACAATTCTGTGGCCCTGTGTGTCCCTAAGTAACAATTCTGTGTCCCTAAGTAACAATTCTGTGGCCCTAAGTAACAATTCTGTGGCCCTCAGTAACAATTCTGTGTCCCTCAGTAACAATTCTGTGTCTGTCCCTGAGTAACAATTCCTAAGTAACAATTCTGTGCCCTAAGTAACGTTTCTGTGGCCCTAAGTAACATTCTGTGGTCCCTCAGTAACAATTTCTGTGTTTCTGTCCCTGAGTAACAATTCTGTGTCCCTCAGTAACAATTCTGTGTCTGTCCCTAAGTAACAAACAATTCTGTGCCCTAAGTAACCTCAAGCCCTAACAATTCTGTGTTTCTGTGTCCCTAAGTAACAATTCTGTGTGGCCCTAAGTAACGTTTCTGTGGCCCCTAACAATTCTGTGTCTGTCCCTAAGTAACAATTCTGTGGTCCCTAAGTAACAATTCTGTGTCCCTAAGTAACAATTCTGTGGCCCTAGTAACAACTGTTTCTGTGGCCCTAGTAAGCCCTCTAACAATTCTGTGGCCCCCTAAGTAACGTTTCTGTGGCCCTCAGTAACAATTCTGTATCCCTCAGTAACAATTCTGTGTCTGTCCCTAAGTAACAATTCTGTGTCCTCCCTACGTTTCAGTAACGTTTCTGTGTCCCTAAGTAACGGTTCTGTGTCCCTCAGTAACAATTCTGTATCCCCTAAGTAACAATTCTGTGTCTGTCCCTAAGTAACAATTCTGTCCCTGTCCCTAAGTAAGTGTTTCTGTGGCCCTAAGTAACGTTTCTGTGGCCCTCAGTAACAATTCTGTGTCTGTCCCTAAGTAACAATTCTGTGGCCCTAAGTAACGTTTCTGTGGCCCCTAAAAAAGTTTCTGTGCCCTAAGTAACGTTTCTGTGTCCCTAAGTAACAATTCTGTGTCTCAGTCCCAAAGTAACGTCCCTCAGTAACAATTCTGTGGCCCTAAGTAAAACGTTTTCTGTGTCCCTAAGTAACAATTCTGTGGCCCTCAGTAACAATTCTGTGTCCCCTCAGTAACAATTCTGTGTCTGTCCCTAAGTAACAATTCTGTGGCCCTAAGTAAAGTTTCTGTGGCCCTAAGTAAATTCTGTGGCCCTAAGTAACGATTCTGTGGCCCTAAGTAACGTTTCTGTGGCCCTCCTCAGTAACAATTCTGTGTCTGTCCCTAAGTAACAATTCTGTGGCCCTAAGTAACGTTTCTGTGGCCCTAAGTAACGTTTCTGTGGCCCTAAGTAACTGTCTGGCCCTAAGGTTCTGTGGCCCTAAGTAACGTTCTGTGTCCCTCAGTAACAATTCTGTGTGTCCCTCAGTTACAATTCTGTGTCTGTCCCTAAGTAACAATTCTGTGTCCCTAAGTAACGTTTCTGTGGCCCTAAGTAACGGTTCTGTGGCCCTAAGTAACAATTCTGTGGCCCTCAGTAACAATTCTGTGTCCCTCAGTAACAATTCTGTCTGTGTCCCTAAGTAACAATTCTGTGGCCCTAAGTAAAGTTTCTGTGGCCCTAAGTAACGTTTCTGTGGCCCTAAGTAAAAGATTCTGTGGCCCTAAGTAACATTTCTGTGGCCCTAAGTAACAATTCTGTGGCCCTAAGTAACGTTTCTGTGGCCCTAAGTAACGTTTCTGTGGCCCTCAGTAACAAATTCTGTGTCCCTCAGTAACAATTCTGTGTCTGTCCCTAAGTAACAATTCTGTGGCCCTAAGTAACGGTTCTGTGGCCCTCAGTAACAATTCTGTGTCCCTCAATAACAATTCTGTGTCTGTCCCTAAGTAACAATTCTGTGGCCCTAAGTAACGTTTCTGTGGCCCTAACTAACGATTCTGTGGCCCTAAGTAACGTTTCTGTGGCCCTAAGTAAACGTTTCTGTGGCCCTCAGTAACAAATCTGTGTCCCTCAGTAACAATTCTGTGTCTGTCCCTAAGTAACAATTCTGTGCCCCTAAGTAACGTTTCTGTGGCCCTAAGTAACGGTTCTGTGGCCCTAAGTAACAATTCTGTGTCCCTCAATAACAATTCTGTGTCTGTCCCTAAGTAACAATTCTGTGGCCCTAAGTAACGTTTCTGTGGCCCTAAGTAACGATTTCTGTGGCCCTCAGTAACAAATCTGTGTCCCTCAGTAACAATTCTGTGTCTGTCCCTAAGTAACAATTCTGTGGCCCTAAGTAACGTTTCTGTGGCCCCAAGTAACGATTCTGTGGCCCTCAGTAACAATTCTGTATCCCTCAGTAACAATTCTGTCTGTCCCCTGAGTAACAATTCTGTGGCCCTAACTAACGATTCTGTGGCCCTAAGTAATGTTTCTGTGGCCCTAACTAACGATTCTGTGGCCCTAAGTAACGTTTCTGTTGCCCTAAGTAACGTTTCTGTGGCCCTAAGTAACGATTCTGTGGCCCTAACTAAACGTTTCTGTGTCCCTAAGTAACGTTTTTCTGTGGCCCTAAGTAACGTTTCTGTGGCCCTAAGTAACGATTCTGTGTCCCTAAGTAACGTTTTTGTGTCCCTAAGTAACGATTCTGTGTCCCTAAGTAACGTTTTTGTGTCCCTAACTCTCTCCCTGAATACAGAGCGGTCTGCCTCTGTTGAATGACTGGAGGCAAATGGAGAATTCTAAAATGGCCGCCATTTATAGCTCGACCATTACACAGTGCTGGCTGGCTGGCTGCTGATTGACTAATGCGATCACATGTCATGAATAAATGCATTATGGGTCAGCGCGCCTTGTCTGCGCGCCTTCCCAGAGATCCCCACTCCGTCCGTCGCCGCACATGTCGCCGCCATTTTAGGAAAAATTTTCCTAATATTCGAAACGAATTCCACTTCGCCTACTTCGATTTGCTCATCTCTAGTCAGCATCCTACATGATGCCTCTACCGGGTTTGAGTGAGTCTGGAACCCAGTAACTTGTTAATTACAGACTATATCTTAATAACTCTTCCTTGGGTGGACCTGTCGCGTTGGTGTCCCTTTTTCTTTCTTCTACTCTTCTATTTTTTCTTCCTCAGATCACCCTTTGCTGGCTTGATGTCATATTATGATTTAAAGACACATTGTGTAGCACCCTGCTCTTCTTAAGCCTGATATATAGGGGAGCGGATCTCGGGCTCTGGCGCATTTGGACTGCTCCCACAGAATCAGCATTTACATCCTTTTGTTCCTGCTGTTGACATATCCTAATAGTTCCCATTCAGAGGAAGATTGGGATACTTGGATTTGCTCCCATCTGTCAATCCAGCCCCAGATCCAATCACTGACAAAATCTTGTACACTTCACCTCCGCAACATCTCCAAGATACGACCGTTCCTAACCTCGGAAACCACTAAGCAACTTATTCCCTCCCTGGTTATCTCTCGCCTTGACTATTGTAACTCCCTCCTCATTGGCCGACCTCATCGCAGGCTATCCCCCCTCCAGTCTATCATGAATGCTGCTGCCAG